ACAAGCCAGGACGCTGTTGGCCTTCTTGGCCACCTGGGCACCCTGCTGGCTCGTATTCAGCTGGCTGTCAACCAACACTTCCAGGCCCTTTTCCACCAGGCCACTTTGGGTTGTTGAGACACAAGTGCAGGACCCAGCACTTAGCCTTGTTGAACCTCATACAGTTGGCCTTGACCCATTGATCCAGCCTATCTGGATCCCTCTGTAGAGCCTTCCTACCCTCAAGCAGATCAACACTCCCACCCGAACTGGTATCATCTGCAAACTTACTGAGGGTGCACTCGATCCCCTCATCCAGATCATTAACAAAGGTATTAAACAGAACGGTGCCCAATACTAAGCCCTGGGGAAGACCACTTGTGACCAGCCACCAAGTGGATTTAACTCCATTCACCACCACTCTTTGGGCTCGGCCATCCAGCCAGTTTTTCACCCAGCAAAGAGTACACCTATCCAAGCCATGAGCAGCCAGTTTCTCCAGGAGAATCTGTGGGAAATGGTGTCAAACGCTTTACTGAAGTCCAGGTAAACAAAATCCACAGCCTTTCCCTCGCCCAGTAAGCGGGTCATCTCGTCACAGAAGGAGATCAGATTAGTCAAGCAGGACCTGCCTTTCATAAACCTATGCTGACTGGGCTGGATCACCTGGTTGTCCTGTATGTGCCGTTTGATGGCACTCAAGATGAGCTGTGCCGTAACATTCCCTGGCGCTGATGTCAGACTGACAGGCCTGTAGTTCCCTGGATCCTACTTCCAACCCTTCTGGTAGATGGTCATCACATTTTCTAACTTCCAATCAACTGGGACCTCCCCAGCTAGCCAGGACTGCCGACAAATGATTGAAAGTGGCTTGGTGAGCACTTCCGCCAGCTTTCTCAGTACCTTTGCGTGGATCCCATCTGTCCCCATAGACCTGTGTATGTCTCAGTGGACTAGCAGGTTGCTAACCATTTCCCCTTGGATTATGAGGGCTTCATTCTGCTCCCCATCCCCATCTCCCAGCTCAGGGGGCTGGGTACCCTGAGAACAATTGGTCTTACTGTTAAAGACTGAGGCAAAGAAGGCATTAAGTACCTCAGCCTTTCCCTCAGCCTGTTACCATGTTTCCCCCCACATCCAATAAAGGATGGAGATAATCTTTCTTTCTTTTCCTCTCCTTGGAAATCTAGCCGCAGGGTCTGCTTCATGCTCTTTTTAACATAACCATCTTCTACCCCTTCCGTAAGCTCCTTGCTTACTGTTTCCTTCTCTCCAGACAGAAGTTCCCCTAGCTGAGAGGGCCCAGTCAATCTCAGCAAGAGTGCTCTTCTCCCCTTCCTCTTGAAGGTGTGGCCTGACCCAAAAAGCAGCACAGGGCAAGGCAAACAAACAGCCTCCTCCATTATTATTTAGCTGCGTGTTTTTAAAGGAAAATAACTGTGCTAAAGCAACAACACAGATGCCACACTTCATATGACTAAACCACATTCCCTTCCATGGGCTGTGTGCATTCCAGAATCACTGAAATTGAGGGATCAATTTTAACTGGTAAAACAATAACTATCAGAGGCTGACCAGTTTCTGGAAGTGTATGGACAGAAGTGGAGCAACCAAGGCCAACACTAACAAGTTTTTCTATCAGATGTCAAAACCTGAATGACAAATTGAAAATTTCACATGAAATCTGTGGAAGTTGGTATGCTACAGAAAAATCAGTTTACACATGAGGTTTTTCTCCCTTCTTCCTCTTTCTCACTACTGATGCATTTCAGTGTACAGTTACTTTACAGACCCCCCAAAAATTAGAAGAAAAAGCAATGTATCCCTTCATTAGTTTGTTATTATTTCTCTTATTATTACATCTTATTGATCTTGATTCTTATTTCAACATCTCCTAATTACTTTCTATTTGAAGATCACTCACCTCATGTTGAATGAGTTGAGTGGCAGTAGTCATGCTCTCTCAAGTGAGGTGTGCTCAACAGAATCATTATCTGCTCTCATGTTGCCCAAGGTAGGAAAGACCACTACACTGAATCACATACTTTCTTCTACCACTACTGCTACCTTAGCAGCAAAGGTTCCCAGCTGAAGTTAGAACCTGATTTTGCTGGGAACCGTAGCTGTTGAGTGAGAGCACTTAGGTTCCAGAGATTGAAAGGCTACACAAGAGACAAAACCAAAGAACAATGAGGACAGAAGGAAGCCAACAAGCCCAGAAAGTGCTCTCTGTCATGGCACACCTATCAATGCATGGTAGATCACTCTTTGTATGGACTCTTTCTTTGTAGGGAATGACATCTCTCCCCAAACTGGGTCAGTGTGCTACTTAGTCATCAATCCAGCTCTTCTGCCTGCCAACAGATCAGCACTCCAACATCTTTCCAGAAGCCTTTGCACTCTTCCAACATCACACTTTTGTGCCACCCTACACACAGTA